TCCAAGAACTTCAAAGGGGGAAGATGGGGAGAGCTAATATAATGCTTTCTCTGATAGGTGTATATTTGAGCTGGGATCTAGTAAAGCTAACCTAGGGAAAAAGCATTCTAGGCAGAAGGACCCTTAAGTCCAAAAGCTCTAAGGAAAAGTTGAATTGAAATGTATTTGAGGAATAGAAAGAAAACCAACATGTCTGGATCTTAAAGATAATGGACCAGTGAGGGAGACAGGGCCCAGTTCCTATAAAGTCTTATAGGTTGCATTAAGGAATGCACATTTATTCTAAGTGTTAAGAGAAGCCATTAGAAGCTTTCAAGCAAGGGATGATATTATCAGAAAAATATTTTTCAAGTTCTGTTTTAAATTTAAATGTAGTTTACATACAGTGAAATAACAGATTTTAAGTGTACAGTCGGATGAGTTTTCACAATTGCATATACTCATGTAACATACACTCTTAAGGGTTGAGAATCCCTAATCTGAAATCTGAAATGCCTCAAAATCTGAAATTTTAAGCGCTGACATGATGCCACAAGTGGAAAATGTCACACCTGACCCGGTGACAGATTGCAGTTAAAGTGCAGTTAAAACTTTGTGTTATGCACAAAATTACTGAAAACATTGTATAAAATTACCTTCAGGCTATGTGTATAATGTGTATATGAAACAAAAATGAATTTCATGTTTAGACTTGGGTCCCATCCCCCAGGTATCTTATTATGTATATGCAAATATTCCAAAATCCAAATAAGTCTATAATCCAAAACACTTATGGTTCTGAGCATTTCAGATAAGGAATACTCAACCCATAGAAAATATTTTTGTCACCCCAGAAAGATCCTTCATTCTTCTTGCCAATCAGTTCCCACCACCAGCACCCCCAACTGCTATTCTCATTTCATTTCCCATAGATTAATTCGTCTGTTTTAGAACTTGATGTAAATGTAATCATTTAGTTTGTACTCTGGTATTTGGCTTCTTTTGCTTACCATAATGATTTGGAGATTTGTTTCTGTTGTTGCTTGGATCAGGAGTTCATTGGGTACACCACAATTTGTCCATTCTCCCGTTTTGTTTTTGTAGACGTTTTTGAAATGTCTCTTCGTTTAATAGAGGAGAATGGATTATAGATTCTCTCATTCAGATATTTAATAAAGGAACATGGTTGTCTTGGTTACACAGGAGAAAATATTTTGCTTGAAGTGAAGAATATAGAAAGGACAGAACTAAAAGGACTATAAAATTATTACCAGCATCTCAGGAATGTCTTTCTGTATAGAAGCAGATGGAAAATGATTTTGCCAGTTCCCCTCCCTTCGTCTCAAACCAGATGGGAAAAGAGCACAAAGTTCAGTAGTTCTAAGATTCAGATGCTGTGAGGAGCATAGAATTAATTATTAAGAAGATACCTCAAGTAGTATATGGCTAATCTTTCAAATGCCGTATTTATTAGATTTTACTCCTTCCTCCCTCAACAATTGGCCATATCTCATATGATGTGGTGTTTGCAAAACAAAGAATGGTAGAGTTCTAGGACTGGGTTCTAGGGTTCAAGATCTTCCCTGACGTGAAAACTAAAACTTTTTAATAAAAATTGCCAGTATTATATATTACATAATTTTTTATGTTTTTAATTATACAATTTTCATTTTAAAATTATCTTTCTCCTGGGGTTTATTTCAAAATATAAAACATTAAAATTTTTGCTTTGGTTTTGGTCTCTAACCTTTGTCAAAAACTCAGACTTGTTTATGTTATTTGAATAGGTAAGGTATGTTTCAATTGGTAGTATTATGCTTCTATAAAGTTTTGTTTTATTTATGGAAAAAAACATTTTCTACATTTAAATTGACATTTACTTTTTATAATGTAGTTATTTTGATAAGATAATTTTAAATTGGTAGAATGGGTGACGGTAGTCTTATTTTAGCCCCAGCATTACATTTTTTTCGGTATTTATTTTTCTCCATAGTATGGAGAAAATTATTTCTCATATACAAATTAGAAATGGTAACAGATTTTTTTAAAACAGTTCACATTATCATCTCAGTATTATTTTCAATTTCAACTGATTCAAAACCTAGAGAGGATTAGTAAGACGTTTTGTTTCAAAGTTGAATTGACAATATGTAACAATTGCTCACATTTCTTTTTCATAAATCTACAAGTCAGCCAAAAAGAATCCAAAACTTATTATTATCGTGGGTCGTTTGTTACACATTCCATTCACTTATTTATTACATCAGGATGAGAGCATGCCTCAACAGATGTCCTAACCTTAGCTAGCGCTTGAATGCGGCGTGTGTATACTTTAGTATTGTTCTTGCTGACAGAAGCAGACCTGAATTATTTAAAAATGCTCAATGCAGAGCTAAAATCTTCCTAAACATGTTTATCGGAGGCTCAAATGTGTGTCCAAAGATGATGGGAAAAGCTGTATTCTAAAGGCTTCATGAAAAATGAATTACCTTGGCAGCACAAGTTAACTCATTAGTGGTTTCTTCCTTTCCATACCTCCCCCCCCCGTTCTTCTCTTTTTTCTCCTCTTCTAGTCCCCTAGTTTTACAGCAAAAATCAAAAGAGTGTTTTGATTTATCTCTTAAGTGAGGGTAAAATAAAATACTGTTTTCTTCAAGGATCTCCAGCCTTTTGGGGGAGGAGCCGCTGTTATTCTTGAGATTACTTGGGAGGTGGGAGGAGAATATTCAGATTATGAAGTCCATAGAATGGGTACATGAAGATGATGCTGGACTTGGACTCATCCTTACAGATAATCTCATAAGACTCTTGGCCAACTGTAGAAGACAGGTGCCCACTGAGGAAATGGTATGGTGCAAGAACAAGTTTGGGGATCTGCTGGGATTTATCTACCTCTGATTATAGGTTTATGTACAAGTAGGGATTGTTTTTTAAACTCTATCTTCATTAAGGAAAAAGAAATGGGGTTTACTGATTTTTGAGAATGTTCTTTATATAACTGCCCGAGATTTTCTCAGGTTGTCTAAAATTAATTGCAGACCGAATGGAAAAGGCTGAAGAAACAAGACCTTACTCTCACTTTTTATAAGCTTTAAATACAGAAAATAATAGTTGGACTCTGGGCCTGTCCAAAAATAGTCATTTATTTTGTAAATTATAGCAGGTAGCTAATGATTATGAACAAAGATTAAGTGACTTGATTCAGGATGTTTATGAGTGCTAGGGGTTTTTAGAATATTTTTAAGCTTAGTGATACTACACAAGATAACAGAGGAAAAATGTTGTCTCAGATTTAGGACTACATAGTATCATTACATAATGAGTTTCTCTACCAGCTGAATTGAGTGAGTCTGTTTCTCAGATGGGTGAAAGAACTGGACTAAGAGCCAAGGGTCTTTTAAATTGTTATTTCTATTTTAACTTTGAGGGAATACAAAATAAATAATTTTGAGCTGACATGTTATTTTCATTAATTTTGTTTTAAGACACTTTATAACTTCATGAAATACTTACTGTGTATTTCTGCCTTTGGTTAGGTAGTCTCCCTTACTGGTAGAGCAGAAGTTTGGAAATTAGGGAGCTCTTCTAGTCTATTCTGTGTCATAGATTTACACTGTAAGGGATAATTTATCTAACCATCCTGGATCTGTTTTCTTATCTATAAATCAATAGCTTCACACTGCCCAGTAAGGGAGCCACTAGCCACAAGTGGTTATCGAGCCTTTCAAATGTGGCTAACACAAATTAAGATGTGCTATAAGTGTAAAATACACACCAGATTTCAAAGACTTAGTAAAACTATGAGAATATAAAATCTCATTACTGATTTATTTATATTAATATAATTGTTGGGATGATAATATTTTAGAAATATTGGTTAGATAAAATATATTATTAAAATTCATTTCACTTTATTTCTTTACTTTTAAAAATGTTGCTAGAAAATTTTAAATTCTGTATGTGGCTTATGTTATATTTTTATTGGACAGTGCTGGTCTGGACAATGTTTCCTAAACTGATTCATGAAATATTTATAAGTGTTCAGTGAAACAGTTGGGAAGAGGGACACTACCAATAGAACTTTAGTAGTGACATAAATGTTCCATATCTGCACTGTCTGTAGCTACCAGCAACTGGTGGCTATTGAGCACTTGAAATGTGGCTAGTTATGAAATATGAAAAATTGAAATGTAGAAAAAGAACTGAGTTTTAAATTTTATTTAATTTTAATTTATAAATAACTTTAAATTTAAATAACCATATATGGCTACTGGGACAGTGAAGATCTAAAGGATTTATGGGACTGTTTTATTCAAAGACTTGTATATCTAGGATTTGTTTATCATATTGTAAACTTGTTAATTAGTTTCATATAAGTATATATAGTTTGTGTTTATTATGAGTAATGATCAATAACAATGGTATCATTTATTGAGTACCTGTTACATAGCAGGCACTGTCCAGAGACAGGATTTGTGTAATAAATTATTTATTAAACCCTTAACTGTATCACTTATATTTTTAATATGCTTAATGCTTTGTGAATTCCAAGACACCATGTGGACTTACCGTCAAAATCTGATTTCTTTCCTTTCCTTATAAGGGTTCTTCCATGACAGTCAGGTTTCTTTTGAAAAGTCTGAGCAATGTGCTACTTTGTTAAAGAATTTTCTCTTGAAAGAGAAACTCATGCTTTTTACCAGACGACTCATGATGAAAATATTTTTTGGGGAACTTTTGAAGTTAAAGTTACGCTTTATTCTTTTGGCTTTAAAAGGGATATATGTACATACTTATAGGCACAGACTTGTAAGTACCAGTATTATGTAATATTCATTAAATATTTATTATATTTGTATGTGAAGGGATATGTACATACTTATAGGCACAGACTTGTAAGTACCAGTATTATGTAATATTCATTAAATATTTATTATATTTGTATGTGTATACACATGTATTTAAAAGTACTAGTATCAGGAAATGTTATTAATTAATTAATTTATTGCTTCATAGTGAAGAACTGGATTTCATCATGTCTGGAATCAAACGAACAATCAAAGAAACTGACCCTGATTATGAAGATGTGTCTGTGGCCCTTCCAAATAAGCGGCATAAAGCAATTGAGAATTCAGGTAGAAATTGACCTGCCTTAGAAAACTGTTTCTTTCTTTGTTGACATATGCCTCCCCTATAAGATTTATAGGAACTAAAATGAAACGAATTTTTACTGTTGTGTATAATTCGAAGGGGTTTGTGAGAGGGATTAGCTAAGTGCTTCATTTAATATTAATAGTAATATACCATGTGTGGCAATAAAAGGCAGAAGATCTGGCAGGAACATGATCAAGTAGACAGTGAAAGTGTCAATAATGAGATAGGCTACAAGTTTTAGCTATCATTTATGTTAAGTATAATCCTAAAGTCTCTGATAGGTATAGTACAATGTGGCATTATCATATGAGATGATTATAGGTGATACGTGGATTTTTTTATTTTAATAGTTATATGCTATTTTAATTTGCATTGAAAAAAGAGTGATCCCTTCAAACTTATAGTTTCATGGCTACTATTGCTTAGGATAAAGCTAAAATTATTTTAAAATATTTAATTGTGTTGGTAAAATGTTTCACGTGGTTCTCAGATGTGGTATATATCTTGAAGGTGGTATATGAATGATGGAAATTTGGGAAACATCTAGTTCAACACTGCGCTTAGCTTCTACTGGGTAGATTAAAGTTCAGAGGCATTAAATTACTTGCCCAATATTATATAATTAGCTGAAGAGCAAATTAACTGTGTGTCTACCCAGAATGTCTTAAGTTTTCTCAAAAAATTGCTAAATTTATGCTTTTAAAACAAATCATTGCTGAACTTCATTAATATTTATTTAAATAATCTACATAAGTTAATCCTTTTAGTAGGGTAAAGAAGGCATCCAAGTCATAGCTAAAGTGTTGCATTTTCACAAAGATTAGGATCCCTAGAATGTAAGTGGTAAAGAAAATTCTTATCTCTGCAAGTGCAAGCAAGTCATATATACTTCCAAAAAGTCTTTGTGAAGGGAAAATGATCAAATCCAATCCCAAATAATGAAACTATTTCACTGCAGCTCCCTCCCCCATTCAGTTGTAATTTTATTTATGAGGCAAAACCATTTCCTTTCAATAACAAGCCAAATAAATGTGAAAGTATCACGCAACTTAAATCTGTTATTCAAAAGCTTCACATGGCATAACTTTTTTTTTAATAAAAACAAGAATAGGGAAAAGTGATTGTTTTAGCAAGTTGTAACTTCAGTTTAAATCGAATGTAAGTTCCCAAATACCCTCCTTCAAGCAGGGGTAATTTTGTGTTTGTTACTGAGTGATAGTTTGTTTTTTTTCTACTCGGTGTCCATAGTCCACCTAATCCTAAACTTTTTTTTTTCCAAAATTTTTCTCTAAGTAGATTTGGTGGATGCTTCCCTTTGCTTATATTATTTTGTCTTATCTGTATCTTGTCTTGTTTTTCCTTGTTCCCTGAGGGATAATTTAGAAGTGTTTCTTCCTCAGTTTATGATAAAACACAGTCATCAGTGATCATAGTGTCTGACTCTCAGCATCTACTAAAAGTATCTGCTGGTTTATATATACAAGGTTTATATATACCTATGATACATACGCATGTATGTATGTTTGTGTTTGTGTGTATGTGTATATCCTAAAACTGGAAAACACTCTTTTCCTCAAATATGAGAAATGTATCAGTCATTTGCCTCTGTGCAGACATATCCACAGAATGCTTATACCATTACTAATTTCAAAATGCCAATCTAATGGCATGTTTAATGGGGAGAAAATGATACAGAATTGTCAAAGGGTCAAAATATTCTCTGTAATTTTTCATGTACTCCAAAGCATGGGTCCTGATATTTTCATATTACAAACACAGGATCATTTTTGCAGAATGTCAGGTTTGTTTTCAAGCAGTCATTTGGCTCCTCTTTGTTTTGTATCAAGCCACATTATGTATTTTGATATTTTTAACTTTGAGTTGCATATTGTTTTGATTAGTTACCATCTGAATTATGTCACCTTCAGAGGCATTTTCTTTCCTTCCAATTCTCTCTGTGCTCATTCCTTTGGGTAGTTGTGATCAGAAACTGCTGAATTGCTTGCTAGACCCTTCTCTGCAAAGGAAGTTTTATGAACTGCTCTAATGTCACAGACTACCTCTTCCTCCACGTAACTCTTTACTTTCTTTCTCTTTAGGGCTGTGGTTTTTCATAGGTCACCAACTATTTCTCTCAGAATCTTCATGGGTTTCGTTTTTCTTTTTTGGTAATTTTATTTTGGTATAATTTCAAACACAGAAAAATTGCAAGAAGCACCCATGTCTTGTCCAGATTAACTTACCAATTGTTTACAGTTTGCCACATTTGATTTATCATACTTTCCCTTCCCTGGACACATGCGCGCATGCAGATAGATAAGCACATGATTAATATTTTTCTTTCTAAACTGTTGGAGAATAAACTGGACACCTGTAAATACTTCTTTATATCTCTTAAGGGCATTCTCTCATATAACCACACCACAATTATCAGAAACAGAAAATTTTAACATTGCTATTAATACATTATGTTGCCTAATATTTGGTCCATATTCATTTTATCAGTGTCCCGGTATTATCAGTATTGTATCCACCTCCCACCCCCAGGATTTAATCCAGGGCACACAGGGCATTTTATTGTCCTGTCTCTGTACTATCTTTCATTCTCCTCAACCTTTCCTTGTCTTTCTTGACTTTTTTATTTGAATAGTACAGGCCAGTTATATTGTAGAACATCCTTCAATTTGGGTTTGTCTGATATTTCCTTGTGAGTAGATTCAGCATTTTTGTCAGGAAAACCACAGAATGATATCGTAGTCTTTTTAGTGCAGTATATCAGAAAGCACACAAAGTCAGTTTACCCCAATATTAGTGATTTTAATTTTTCATCACTTGGTTAAGGTGATGTCCACTAGGTTTCTCCACTTTAGAGTTGATATTAACATTTCTTGGGTTTCTTTTGCTTGCTGACTTAAGACAGACAATGATTAATTAATTAGGACTCAAATGTATTTTATATTCTTTGTACAGCTCGAGATGCTGCTGTGCAGAAGATTGAGACTATTATCAAGGAACAATTTGCTCTTGAAATGAAGAATAAAGAACATGAAATTGAAGTCATCGACCAGGTATAATGATGATAAATTGAAAAAACACCAGAGGTATTGGGAAAAAAATCTATATATAATGAATTAAAAAAAGTCTCTTGAGATAAAGTTGTTTGCTTTTTCCCTTTTGTTGTTCTTTGAAAAATAGTTTTCTTGTTTGAGGGGAAAAAAACCTATTTTTTAAGAAATGAAATTGCAGAAAGGATAAAAAATATTATCTGAAATTTCATTTTAAAATACAATCTTCTTTGCTCATGTGCTTAATATCTTTGTGGATATTTCTCAATGAATGTGCACATAAATATACATAGTAATATATTTACTTACATACCCTTGCAACAGTTTTTTTTACCATTTTACATCTTTGTCATTCTGCTAGATGGTAAATGTCACTCTTATTTTCTTTAATTATTAGAGAAGTTGAGCTCTTTTTTTTTTTTTTTTTGGTCATTTGCATTTCTTATTTTGTGATTTGTTTGTACATCTCTTTTATAATTGCCATTTTTTTAAAGTAATGAGTTAATATTTGTTTTTAGCGACTGATTGAAGCAAGAAGGATGATGGATAAACTTCGTGCCTGCATTGTAGCAAACTACTATGCTTCTGCAGGTCTTCTAAAAGTTTCTGAGGTAAGTATTCCTCATATTCAGTCATTTTGCAGCCACCCATATTTGTTGTGTGAGGGAAAGTTATGTCAGCGTGGAATCCCTGACTTGGAAACATTTATCTTTTTTATTTTAATTTTTTTTTTTTCCCCCCATAATACTCAGAACCATTCAGGAAACATTTATCTTGACCTTCAGAATTCAAGAAGCCTAGCCTACTTTCCTGGGACTTTACATAAACTTATTATTGTGTTCAACCATAGTCCTTCAGTCATACCTCTCTGCATTGTCTGTAATCCTAAGGAACACTTTTTTGTTTTTACTTAATCCTTCTACTGATTGTTAGCATTGTGCTAGGCTTTGCAGATGCAAAAATGAATGAGACCTCATTGCAACTTGCCCTAGTTTGTCATTTGATTGTGGCCTGTTTTGGAGTAAGTTATAGATTGGTTCAGTTTTTCCTAGCCTTTTATTCAAATAAATAGCAGTTTTTAGTTTGAGATTTGCCCTATTCCATAAGCCTGATTTCTCCCTCTACCTTTTTTTTTTTTTTTTTCAAAAGAGATGGGGTCTTGCCGTGGTGTTCAGACTGGAGTGCATTGGTTATTCACAAGCACGTTCATCGTGCACTACAGCCTTGAACTCCTGGGCTCAAGCCATTCTCAGCCTTCTGAGTAGCTGGGACTTTAGGTGCGCACCATCATGCCCAGCTCCCCAACTACTTTTAATGGAATATTTCGGATATACAGAAAAAAGGTGAAATAAGCACCTATTTGTGCACCACTTAGAGTTGACAGTTTTAGCATTTTGCCATATTTGCTTTATCTGTTTTATTTTTCTCTAAAATAGTTGAAAGTAAGTTCCAGGCATCATGCCACTTCACCCCTAGACACTTAAGCGTGTATTTCTTAAAGGAAATTTTTCTTTATCATCATAGTACCTCAGAAAGTGAACCAGTCCATACTCACATTTCCCCAGTTGTCCCCCGAATCTTTTAAAGCTGTTTTTTCCAAACCAGGATCCAGTTAAGGTTTATGGATTGTGTTTGGTTGTTTTGTATTTCTAGTTTCTTTTAAATCCACAACAGTCAGTCTTCTTACCCTTTTTCCTCCATGGTACTGACTTTTTGAAGAGACCAGGCCATTTATCTTACAGAATGTCCCACATTTTGGGTTTATTTTTTTCCTTGGGTTACTCCATCTTCTCTATTTTCCTGTAAACTGGAAGTCAAGTCTAAAGGCTTGCTTAGATTTCAGGTTAAATATTTCTGGCAAGAATACTTCATAGGTGATGCTGTATACTTGATGTTTTACCACATTAAGTAGGCACATAGTATTAGGCTGTTCTGTTAGGGATACTAAGTTTGACCACTTGGTTAATGTGATTACCACTAGATCATTCCAGTTATAAAGGCAAGTTTTTTCCTGATTTTGTTTTTGACAAGCAAATGAAAAATATCTGGCTCCTTTATCCTAGTAGTCTGTCCAAATTCTAGCATAGGGGATAGGACTAAACTGAAATAGAAATATTTCTTCCTGTTTAACATTTTCAGAATATAGCTTTTGTTTGTTCTTTCTCTTTTTAATTTCTTTTTCCTAATTTTTTTTCAATTTAGAATTAGTGTCAGCTAAATTTCCTCTTTGACAATACTGGCTCAGTGGGAACCAGGGAAAGGCTGGAGGGTGATAATAAGAGGTAATTGTCATATTTAGGCTTTTGTATTATCCTGTGGAGCTTTAGGGTACCTGGCATTGGTGCTACACTGATGTTGTCCTAGTAAAAACTAGAGCGTTATTTGAATTTAATCTTAAATAGTAGACAGGTATTTCTTTAGTTGCAGGAGTTTTCACAGTACACATTAGAATAATCTATATTAGTTTTCTAAGGCTACCATAACAAATTACTGCAAGCTTGGTGATGTAAAACAAGAGAGATTTTTTTATCTCACGATTCTGGAGGCTAGAAGTCCAAAATGAAGGCCTCAGCAGGCAGTGCTCCCTCTGAAGGCTCTAGGGAAGAATCTCTCCTTGCTTCTTCCTAGCTACCAGTGGTTGCTGCCAGTCGTTGGCTTGCAGCTGCATCACTCTGATTTCTGCCTCTGTCTTCCCATGGACCATTTCTCTCTGTGGTGTGTCTTCTCTGTATCTCTCTGTCCACGTTTCCCTCTTAAAAGGCTACCAGCCATGGTTACATCTGCAAAGACCCTATTTCTGAATAAAGTCACATTCACAGAATCTGGGTGGACATGAATTTTGGGGAGACATTTTTCAACTCAGGACAGATTCCAGTGTCATCTGTTGCATGACTCACTATGAAGTTCAACAGAAGGACATCAGGAGTTAGCATCTGCATGATGTAGCCACTCTGAGGTAGCTACTCTGTTTGAAAAGCTGGTTATTCATTTAATGTTTTGTTGCTTTATGTTAGCAGTTCTGATCTCTGTTATTTGGTGGTCTAGAAATACACTGATTTTATCCAGTTTTGTTCTGATTAGGATTTATTCAAGGATATTTAGTTATGCTTTTGTCTGTTATGATCAGGCATTTACTTATTGTTAGTTTGCAGTAGCAAAACACATTCATAGCTCTGAAAAACCATTGTTTTTGAAATTCAATGATTTTGTTGCTTCGACTCTGAAACACTAGGCTTTGGCTCCTTTTTTCTTACTAAAACAATTATTTTAATAGCACATTTTTAAAAGCTAGGCTTCCTAAGAACATAACTACAGTGTATCACATTATAATAGAATATACTGTATTTTGTATGCAAGTAACTAAGATACAGAAAAATACCCTAGGCTTCTGTACTGGACTGAGGGCAAACTTTGTACAACAGCATTAATTATTTTAAGGCAATCTATATTACTTTTACTCCTATGTGAGGGCCATTTCAAATATATTAGGTCATTAAATATGAAATGTCCAATTTTTAATGGAAAGTTTAGTTTGTTTTATCTCAAACAGGAATCAGTACAATTAATTAAACTATATGCCTAAACTATTGACACAGTTTTGCCATCTTAACGATACCTTGTTTATGCCAGTATGAAGAAGCCTGGAGAGGAAGTGGCAATGAAATCACAAAAGGCATTTTCAGCAACTTGTTGACAATTCAATATTTTTCCTTGCAAGAAGTGGACCTTTCAGTGGTCCACCACCTGAAAGAAGTGGTAGTCAGTTGGCATAAGGTCTGGTGAATACGGTGGATAACAGAGTTTCCCAAGTCCAGCCTCTATGGTTTGAGCAGCGTTGTTAGTGTGACTTGTGGTCAAGCGTTATCTTGCAAGAGGATTGGCCTGTCTCTGTTGACTAGTCTCGGCTGCTTAATCACAAGCATCCTCATCATTTGGTTGCAGTAGACATCTGCTGTAATACATTGACCAGGTTTCATGAAGCTGTAGTGGATAAAACCAGCGCTAGACCACCATTAGCTTTTTTTGATGAATATTTAGTTTTGGACTGTGTTTTGGCACTTCATCTTTATCTAACGATTGTGCCAAATACTTGCGATTATCAAAAAGAATCCATTTTTCATCACACATAACAATATGGTGTAGAAATGGTTTGTCTTTATGTCGTGACAGCAAAGAAAGGCAAGCTTCCAGATGATTTCCCTTCCGACACTCATGTAATTCATGTAGGAACCCATGTATCCAGCTTCTTTCTTTCTTTTTTTTGAGACAGAGTCACACTCTGTTGCCTGGGCTAGAGTGCCCTGGCATCATCCTAGCTCACAGCAACCACAAACTCCTGGGCTCAAGCGATCCTTCTGCCTCAGCCTCGCCAGTAGCTGGGACTACAGGCACGCACCACCACACCTGGCTAATTTTTTCTACCTTTAGTTGCTCGGCTAATTTTTTTTCTATTTTTTTAGTAGAGATGGGATCTCACTCTTGCTCAGGCTGGTCTCGAACTCCTGAGCTCAAGCAATCTTCCCACGTCAGCCTCCCAGAGTGCTAGCATTACAGGCATGAGCCACCACGCCTGGCTAGTCCAGCTTCTTTACCTTGCCATTTTGTTTCAGATGGTCCAATATTGTTGGAATAGTAATGTCAAATCTTGCTGCTAATTCACACCTAGGTTGTGATGGATTTGCTTCCACTACAGCTTTCAGCTCATTATTATCCACCTTGGGCTCACGTTGCCCACATGGCTCATTTTCAAGAAGAAAATCACCGGAACAGAACTTCTCAAACCATTGATGTACTGTGCATTCATTAGCCACATCCTTCCCAAACACTTCCTTGATATTTTTAGCTGTCTGTACTGCATTGGTTCCACAATGGAACTCATTTGAAAATAACATGAATTTTTTACTTATCCATGGTTTCACAAAAATTGCTCTAAAAAATGTGAAAGATAATCACAAGCCAAAAATGTGAGTTTGAAAGACTGAGGATGTACCTTTACAATAAACATAAAACAAGAAGTGTCAAAGTAAAATGTCAGAGATATCAACTGTCAAATTTTGTAGTTAAGGAAATTGAACATTTCATGTTTAATAACCTAATACATTTCCTTCATTTTTGTGTTTCTTTTAGGAAACTTATTTAGAGCAGTTGATGCGTTGGTGTAAAGTGATGTGAGACTTATTTTTTTGAGTCAAATCTTATTTTCCATATGTTACTGTATATTTATCTTTATTTCTCATTTATCCTCAGAAGATCCCACATCTTTAGCTTTTAGTGTTAGAAACTTTACATAATTATTTATCACTCTAATTTTTGTTTCGTTTGTCCAGACCATGTTAAAGAGTTTGGATTCCATTTTATGGGCGTCAGGAGATTTCGAAGGATTTTAAGCGTGATCCTGTAACAGATAAGGGTTTTGGAGAGATCAGGTTTTTGCCCACTTTTGATGGATTTGATTAAAAGTTTGTTTGCTTTCATTTTTTGTAGGGATCAAAGACATGTGATACAATGGTTTTTAATCATCCTGCTATCAAGAAATTTTTGGAATCACCGTCTAGGTCATCATCTCCTGCCAATCAGAGATCAGAAACACCATCAGCCAACCATTCAGAAAGTGATTCTTTATCTCAACACAATGACTTCTTATCTGACAAAGATAATAACAGCAATATGGATATAGAAGAAAGACTCTTAAACAACACGGAGCAGAGACCAAGCCGAAATACTGGAATGGTATAGTTGGATGGATTGGTGGTAGGCCTGAGGAGTGTTAAAGGAGACAGGAACTAATAATGCACATATTATCTCATTTAACTTTGGCAGGGACTCTAGGAAATAGATTGTTTTCCTTTTAGAAGGGGGAAAATGAATCTTGATATGGTTAACATTATATTTGCTCAAACGTATCAGAACTGAGAATTAAACCCAGGTGTTTCTAATTTTAGAGTTTAGGGCTATGTGCAGCACAGCTCCTGGATACCATTCACGTAGATATGAAAGAAACCTTTAGCAGTTGGCAATTCTGTGATCTTGCGCAAGGTGTTTCTACTTTGTCATATTTATTCTTTCAAGTGTTACGGCTCTTCAGTTTCCTTTGTGAGACTTTATATTAGTATAAT